GCAGGAGACCAGACCCCCCAAGTGCCACAGTTTCCCCATCAATTCTTCGCTGTCCCCCTCCTGCAATAACAGGCGTGCTGTCCATGTCAAGTGGTAATCCCTGCGCCTCGCTCCTCCTTTCCCTGCTCCTGTTGTTTCTGTTGTTTCTAAGTCTTCTTATTCACTTGCTTTGCCACCTCCTTTCTTCTTCGAGTGGCGACCCCTGCGCATCCCCCTCCTTTCCGTCTGCCTGCCACCTGAGATTGTGGAGTACCGCAAGGGAGCAGGCACAGCGGCCCAGACGAAGCAAGAGCCGTTTTGAGCTGCTGCATGTGTCATGTCCAATTTGACAAATTGGACCATTTTTCTCCAAGTTTTTGGTATTTTCCGACACACACTTTCGGCATAGTGCTGGGATAACGGAGAGCTTGCTGCAAGTTCGAAGCCCAGGCTGGCATACTGATAGGCAAACAATACAGTTCTTTTGAATGTGTGTAGGTGTGCAGCGTGTGCGTGTGCATGTGTGTGTGCGCATGTGCACGGGCGTGTGCATGTGCAGCACCTGTGTGTGCAGTGTGTGTGTGTGTGTGCATGCGTGTGCAGCACCTGTGCGTGAACTGCATGTGCGTGCACGTGTGCACATGCCCGTGCGTGCGGCTCCAGTGCGCAAAGTGCGTGTGCATGTCCATGCACGGTGCCTGTGTGCGAAGTGTGTGTGTGTGCATGTGCGACACCTGTGCGCAAAGCGGGTGTGTGTGTGCGTGTGCGGCACCTGTGCGTAAAGTGGGTGTGTGTGTGTGCGTGTGTGGCGCCTGTGCACAAAGTGTGTGCGTGTTCGGCGCCTGTGCGCAAAGTGTGTGTGCATGTGCGGCGCCTGTGCGCAAAGTGTGTGTGCGTCTGCGTGCAAATGAGCTGTATTTTTTTCAGCACTTCTTGGGGGGTTCCCCTCCAAGGCAATTCTTGCTGGCATTCGCAATTCTAGGTTTTGCCCGGGAGCAAAGTCCCACTAACAGCTTGATCGAGCTTCTTGGGACCGTCGGTGGTTCCAGGCCGTCCGATCAGAGAATCTAATAGCGATTAAAAATAAAAATAAAAACTTACTGTGTTCACTTTGAGAAGTGCTCGAAAACTACTCCTCGATTGCTTTTCGAGGGGGGGGGGGGGGGAAAAACACTACTCGTGGATCCAGTTCGTACAGTGTTCCCTGGGATACCGCGTACAGTCTTATCGCCTCATTTAAACCAACTCTTCCAACTCTTTCCCCAAATACAGCTATAACGACCATTTTCCCCAAATACAGCTATAACGACCATGCTATCTATCGGAGGGGAACGCCACAGTGGGACTCAGCTCTGAGGTCGAGACACATCGCCCCACCCTCCTCCCTCCCCGTGTCTGTGCGTCTTTGACCCTCTTATATACTGTCACTCATGTTACACCACCCCTATCTCCCCTGATAAATCAGCCCAAACCCTGCAGGCGGAATGGAAGCAAAACCTGACCTAAATCTCCTGAAAAAAGGAGGCTGCTCTGGTGACCACCACAGCGGCCATGCAAGGCAGTGGTGATTTTTTTCGTTTTTTTCGTTTTTTTTCGTTTTTTTCGTTTTTTTTCGTTTTTTTCGTTTTTTTTCGTTTTTTTCGTTTTTTTTCGTTTTTTTCGTTTTTTTCGTTTTTTTCGTTTTTTTTTTTTCAACTCCCAAATCAAACCATTCATTAAACAATTCAACCCGAAAATACTGACAGCATCAGCCAGCTTCGCTCACAGGACCATGCCTGGGGCGTGGTCCCACTAGCAAAGAGGATCGGATCGAATGCCTGAATCTGGACGAGTTTATGGAGATGTGCAGGGAATCGAGATTGAACTGCTTTTCTGCTTCTGTGCTTAAAACACATCCAGATTCAGCAGCTCGATCCTATCCTTTTCGTTAGTGGGACCTCGGCCCTGGACAAGTCACTGTTACAGACTTCTCATCAGAATTTCCGACGGAACTCGAAAAAAAAAAAAAAAAAAAAAAAAAAAAAAAAAAAAAAAAAAAAAAAAAAAAAAAAAAAAAAAAAAAAAAAAAGAAGAAGCAAATTTCCATCACCATGCTTTGCTTTATACTGTTATAATCGAAGAGAGCACACCGTCTACCTACATAACTGACTATCCCATGGGGGTCTGCAACCTACCTGACCACCCCATGAGGGTATGGGACTAACGCGGCCCAGAGGACAGAGTCAGGAACCTACGGCTTGTTATTCTATTATTAAACTACAAAAAAAAGAAAATAAAAAACGCCAGCCTATCCTCACTGCCGCGAAGCTTGCAGCCTCATAGATCCGAGTGAGTGTGGGCGAGGTCCCACTAGCAAACTGGATAGAGATTGAATTAAGCGCCTGAATCTGGATGAGTTTTACGGAGAGAGGCAGAAAAGAAGATCAATCGTGATTGTCTGCACCTGTCCACAAACACGTCCACATCTCTCCACGCGTTAAACCCGATCCTCTTCGCCACCGTTTTCCCCCCAACATAACGCACCCTAAAAATGAATGTATACAAGCTATATTTCCGGCCAGATACAGCCAAAATAAGGGTGCGTTGTGTTCGGGCCAAAAGACGGTAGTGAGATCTGCCACTGGGGGATAGATAAATAGATAGATGGAGTGGAGGGGGTTGACCTTGCTTTGTTCCTTCTTTTTTTTTTTTTTCAAATAAACGATGCCATACACTGTCCCCTAGCCGGTATCGCCCACCTGCAGGTCAGGAGCAGGCCCCCCATGTTCTCTCGTGAACACGGTTCTGGCAGCTAAGGGGTTTTCCCCGTATGCCTACAATTAATTAGGAGTAGTGGTAAATAGGTAGGTAGTGTGAGGTGACATAGAGAGAAGAATATATAGCTTTAAAAAAAAAATAAAAAAAAAAGAAGCAGAAAAAGCAGGTGCCTGTAGACGTTGGCACAATCCACAGTGCCGGAAGAGACTAAGGGCACACTCACATCGGGAGTTCCCTGGATGTATCTGACTGCAATCACGGCCGCAATCACCTCCAGAGCCAGTAGAAAAAGGTCCTACTGCGCGAGTATGCCCTAATCCCCTGGCCTTTGCTCTTGCAGTGAGGTAGAAGGGTAATCGCGACAGTTGTCGCATGCCATGGACAGGACGTGTATACTGCGAAAGCAGAACCTCGCACGTGTTGTGTCTATTGTTTTTTTTTTTTTTTTTTTTTTTTTTCGCTCTCACGGTCGTCACCGGCCTCGACTTGACACCAGCTCTGGGGGTAAAACCAGCCCTGGTTCCAAAAGCCATCCTCGAAAACGTTTTCGACATTTACTAAAGTGTGTGTGTGGGGGGGGGGGGGGGGGGAAACGAAGTGTTTAGAACCTTCCGTTGTTTGGGAAGAAACCTCCATTCCGAAAATTCTCAAGATTTTTCAAAAAAAAAAAAAAAAAAAATCCAACACATGAAAGTTCTTGAACTTTCAACACGCAGTCTCTTTCTCTCAGAGCTCCTGACTTTTGCACTTCATCCTTTCGCACTCCTCTCTACCTCATAAACACCTCTCTCTCTCTCTCTCTCTCACACACACACACACACACACACACACACACCTCATAAACC